AACCAAAACATGAATTTTGTGTCAGAGGTTTAGGTCTTTATAAGGTTGTTTAACTATTTCATTATGTGGGAGTGTTGAAATATGTAATGCAATAGTTGCTTGATTTCAATAAGATCATTGTGTTATGTTACATCACCCTATGTATGAAACAGTTTAGTTAGTTGTCATAATAAAATTTGGTAACGTCATTGTATTTTCTTCAATCAAACAGAAAATATTAGTTTTTACCTCCATTGCCTAAATTCTAACAAACATAACATCACTATATACGAAAATCAGATTGGGCAGTAACAATGAAATGAAAAAGTGTAGACTTAAGAAGTTCCGAGACCAGCATTACATGCTGATTTGGAATTGTTTTCCAAATAGTGGCCGAAACATGTATGTACGAAATTGAAAATAATCAGATTGTGAACTATTTGAATAAAGCCTTTAAAAAAAAAAATCTTCATCAATGTAATTGAAAATACGTAGCTCATCCTGTATTTCTGTCGTAGATGTAAAATTCTTCGATCCAATCAGAACGATCCTTGGGGATTTGAGTTTAGAAGTTTTGACTATGTAGTTGGTGCCAATAGTTTTCTGAGCGATGTTTTCTAATCGTTTGATCTCTTCTTCAGAGCTTGACTTCAATAAAACACCTCCTTTCCCAATGTCTTGAATTCCAGTGATACTTGCTTTGGCCAGTATTGGATTTATTTTGTTTTGAATATCTTCTTTGGTTTTTTGATTAGTTTACAGAGACTTCGGTTTTATTATTCAAGAAGGGAAATTGCGAGGAACATCTTTTTTGTTGATATCCTTCTTCACTATGTCAGCATATGATTTCATTTCAATGTTTTCTGTTGCATTTGATTTAAGAGTGAAGTTATCCATTTTGGAATTCAAATTTTTCAATTCTAATACCATATCTTGTTTTTAAGTTCTCTCTGTTATCATATTGTTGTACTCTGTTGATAAGAAAGCCACTTGATTGGTGAGAGTGGTGATTATTCTTTCATTTTTCAGAATTATGTCATCATCGCCCTCAATAGTTCTATTAGGAGTTCATTTTCTCTTAAAAAAATTATATCACTACTTACTTGGCTTTTCATAAGTTTACTTGACTCATGATCCAAATCTGAACTTATCAACTTGTTGGTTGAATCATCATTGGTTTTGTCAAAGTTTATTTGGGTGCATTGGAAACAATCGTAATTTGAATCATCTTGTAGATTTTTTGAAATATCTTTTGACATTTCAGAATTATTCTAATTTGCTTGTCACATACATTTTCCAAACAATTTTCTCAGTTTCTTGCATCACAGGTTTTCAATCTTCAGTGCCATTAGAAGCAGAATCATCAATTTTAGCCAATTTTTATATATTTTTTAAATTCACGAATGTATTTCTCTTCAAATTTCACTATTTTTCTGGACAGACAATGACGCGTAATGCTGCTGTCAATAATTCACCCCACCTACTTTGAAAGTTTCATATTTCGATCAATGTGGACCATCTACATGTGAGAATATTTAGGAGAGACAACTCCAGAACAACCCTCCATTGTAATTTTATCGAGTTCCATGAGAGTCATAGAAGACAATATTTACCAGATGACACTACTTCCGGTTATACCAAAAGTGGACATCAACTTCGTTATTTCAAATGAAAAGCTATGTTTTTAATTGCTTTTCCACATTACTTATGATATTTCAAAATGGTCACTGAGTACAAGAAACAAATTGGCATTTGATTCGAAAAAAATGTACACAATGATTTTCGATTCATGTGAATATCTTCTTTTTAAGAGAAGATACAAGTGTTTTAAGACAGTATGGATTTTTTAAACTTTTATGAACAATGATTCAGAACCTACTTGAACTAATCAATTATTAACAACTTATAAAAACATATAGAAATTAATAGCGCATATTTCAACCCCGTTTTTTAGCGCTTACCCGCAAAAAAGCTCATTCACAAAAAACACCAAACCCAAACCTTCCAAATGTAGTCATCAATGAGTTGCCCTCACCGACCTTGAATTAAAGCATTTAACCGCCGTGGCATCGAGTTGATCAAATTTCTCAAGCAGTCTTGAGGAATCGCTTCAAATTCTTTTTGAGGGGACCAAGACGAATACGTCTCTGGAGTTCAAAGATGCTCTATAGGTTTTGAATTATTGTTAAAAAATAAAATTCCATACTTTCTTAAGACACTTGTATCTTCTCTTTTGAATAAGATATTGACGTGAATCTAAAAAATAATTGTGTTAAATAGGTATCACTTCAATCTTAAAAACATAATGTAGCTGAGTTTCGCTTTTGCCACAGGGCGTCAAGTAGTTGGGGGTGAATGAGTAACTTTTGTTTTTCCCTATACAGGGTGATTCAGGATTTGAGGTACAAATTAAAATGTATGATAGATCTCATCATTTCAATCAAAAAAGTTTATATTAACATGAGTCCGATCTTGATCAGTAGCGGATCTACAGGTGGACAAAGTATAATTATTTTTTTTATTACTAAAATAACTCGCTCACTTTTGAAGATATCAATTTGAAATTTGGTGTGGTCAATTCTTTTTAGGAATTCATCATTTGAGGATTTTAGAGATTTTTTAAATCTAAAGGGTGACCAAAATTCAAATTGATATCTTTAGAAGCAGGGTTGAAAAAAAAAAGTATTTTTTAATTTTATACAAAACACCTTTTTTTTTGTTTTAAATGGTTAATTTTGTTTTAAACATTGTTTTTTTTTGTTTCTGAATTTTATGATTTAAACAAATAAAACTTAGAAAAAGACATTGTTCAAATCAAATTTTTTCAAACATAATATTAATTCAGAGATTAATTCAAATTTTGATTTAATAATCTTTAGTATTAGTCCACTAAATAATAGATTCTAAGGATATAATAAAGCTTGTAAACGATACCAATTTAAAGACAAATGCCCAAGACTATTTGAAAAAATTGAAGTATATCGCAGTTGCTTTGGACAAAGTCCAAAGAAACATTTGCACTATAGGAGAGGCTACAGAGATATGGCTAGAAGCATTCGAGACTGAACAAGCAAATGGAGAATTTTCGGTAAGTGATTCGAATAAAGTGAAGGAACGTATGAAAATGGCTTTAACCCCAGCTCATTTTTTGGCAAATTTGCTCGATCATCGCTTCAGAGGAAATAAACTCAGTCAAGAGCAAATAGGAACTGGCATGGAATATGTAGAAACCTATCATCCAGAAGCATTGCCAATTATTATTAATTACCAGGCAAAGTGTGCACCCTTTAAACAATATATGTTTTCTAAACATCTGATTGAAAATGAGAATTCAAAAGTAAAACCATTGGCATGGTGGCGTTCTATGAACAATATAAATACGACATCAATGGAACTTGCTCAACAGCTTCATACAGCTATTGCATCGTCAGCCAACATAGAAAGACTCTTCTCATCATACGGTTTAGTCCATTCAAAACTACGTAATCGGCTAGGCAATGTCAAAGCGGCTAAGTTGGTTTCAATTTTCAAAGAACTTAATTCGATCAGTGATGACGTGACTGATGAGATTGATGATTATGAGATTGAAAGAGTGTGAGAAATTTGTGAACGCTTGTATGCAAAATGTTTCAAATTTTCCAATTTTCCTAATTCCTATTATTAATGAATAGATAATTAATATGTATTATGTACTATGTACGTATGTTAAAAAGTTTGTATAATGTATCTCAGAATTTTTCCTATTTTCATTCATTATAATAATAAAGAAAATGAAAAAAAAGTGTTTTAAACATGTTTTAAACCGTTTTGAACAAAAACTGTTTAAAACTTGAGCACATGTTTAAAACATGTTTAAAACAGTTGATTACAACAAAACGTTTAAAACAAAACAACCCTGTTTAGAAGTGAGCTAGATATTTGACTTAGTAGAAAAATATAATCAAACTACAACCCCCTGTATCTCCGCTACTGATCGAGATCGGACACATATTTATAAACACTTTTTTATCAAAATGATGAGATCTATTACCCATTTCAGTTTGTACCTCAAAACCTGAATCACCCTGTATAATGATCTGGCAACCAGCTTTTCTTGGGAATCAAAATTCAGGCTAACATTCTGAAACATGATTCAACAATTTGGTTGAAATTTCACCAGAATCGGACATATTGATGTTCTGACAAAAAAATATCTCCAATAATTATTGGTGCATTGAGAAGATGTCCCAAACTTGATATTAAAATTGCAAACATGATTCTCTACTCTCATATACTGAGTCGTATCAACTATTTGATAAACATTTGGGGACCTTGTTCAAAAAATAATTTCAATAAAGTATCAACTTAATATAGAAAATCGTTAAAAGTATTGTATCGTTTCCCATTTGATACACCAACTAATCAATTGCATGAAATAACAGATACATATTCTTCAGATGAAATATATAGAATTGAAACTCTTAAAATATCGAATATTATTTTGATACAGAATTCTGAAATTCATAATCATGAAAATAGACAATATAACTTGTTTCATCTTGATGCCGCTAGTTCCGTTATCGGACAAAAAAGATTCACTCATTCAGCCTTAACTGAATTCAATAAACAACCTGACAATATCAAAAATTCCAGAAATATAGGAACATTAAAAAATGAAGTAAAAAAACTGATTATTTCTGAGTGAACTGGGTAAAATTAATCATGCCCCATTTTTTTTACAAATATTATTCTTTTCAATTTACAGTTGTTGATCTGTTTTGAATGATGATATGTTTACCTATAGGTATATAATTATGTACTTCGTTATACCAGAGTCTATTCTGTCTGGAAGTTATTTTTTCAATAAATAAATAAAATAGATCTGAATTTTCAAAAAAAAGGGAAGAAAAAAAATTGAAAAAAGTGACAGGGCGACTAATTTGGCAATTTTTTTCTGGCCGGTTATTTTTTAAGATGATGAGTGTAGATGTTCCTATAGGAAAATTAGAGAGCCCAGTCATTCCGTAGCCAGACACACATACCTGTTGCACTTCTTTGTCCCGCATCGGCACCGTCCGCCTGGCGACTGAGTCCCACGACCTGGTCTCGTTCACCACCTCGCCGCCGGCCTCTCTCACCGCCACCTGCCGCTTGATCTCGTACTCTATGGCCCCCGCGACGCCCCTGATCGAGCCGATGTTCTTGATCTCCGTTCTGGTGCCCAGGGGCTCGTTCTCGCGCCGGATGGAGATGTTCGCATCCACTCTCAGGGCGCCCTCTGTGGAGGAATCGGAGGAATAATTTTTATGCATATTCATATGTTACAGACACGAAACGACAATCGGATTTACGAGCGAAGCCGAACACGAAATGATAAGTTACCGAAGTAATTTTCAGTTTGTGTCTGTAACAAAGGTGGATATGTTAGTAACTTAACGATTGGTAACGAGCCTATCGCTGTTTGCTGGCAGTGGGCGAGATGTCACAGTGAACTAAGCGTCCATCTGCCACAACTAAAGGATTCGAGTTCAGTCCTCGCGAGATTGAGTTTCTTTTATAGTTCAAGAAATCTCAGGAAGTTTTCGTTATACAGTATGATGCAAATGTATGGAATAAATTCATTATTTCAGAAATGGGCGACATTTGAAGAAATTCCAAAAACACGTGTTTTAATTTTTGAAACCTCATCTCATGACATTCATATGAGAGATGTTACGTCACCGGTGTTGGTGTAATGACGTAATGGACGGTTTTTTTAAATTCAAACAGGGGTCATGTGACACCTCGTATGAAAGGTCTACTGATCGTCTATCCAACAGTCAAAATTTTGCAAAAGAAGATTGAAATTAAAATGGATTATCATTTGGTTAAATGAATCTTGCAGAGATCTTCTACTGAGAATTGAACATCGAAGGGTCGTCTAGTTGAAAAAATACATCGATAAAAAAGTTCTGAACTGTACTTTTTGGATTTTTTTCGGAAGTCGTCTTGTTTTGAAATGTATTTATTCCATACATTTGCATCATACTGTATATATTTCATAGAAAGAAGGTTCACTTAGGCCTTGTTAGGTTGAACTATTTGAAAAAGCAGTCTCCTTTGTTCTCTATAATAGAAATTGTCCGAAGAATATACTTTTTCTGCAACCGACACAAAAGTCGTCCATTTTGATACCAAAATTAGCTCTTAAATTGACATTTCTATTACTGACACGAAAATAGGTATGTTGCTAGGCAACATATTTAGATCCTAGGAGCTAAAGTTGAATTTTAGTTCCTAGGAGTTGAAGTTGAACTTTAGCTACTAGGAACTAAAAATGATGTACTGTACGTCATCAAGAATAAACAACATTGTGACAGTTGGTTATTTGGGTTGAGACGCATACCTGATTTGTTTCCGATTTTAGCAGATTTGGCATTTCATACCCATGCTGATGGATAAATACACCTTATTATACTTTAGCATTGGAATTATAAACATCTCAATTAAGTATTTTTGTATTGATCAGGGAAGCCTTCAAGATTCAAATACTTGCTCGATCTGTATTTCATTCGTTATTCTCGGGATGGATAAATTGTTTTTGAATAATCACGGCAAGCAATATTGATATATTGTTTAGCTTCATTTGATTATCAAGTCAAAGACAGGTTGATATGCTCACCAACCTAACATTTTCCACGTCTTGTTCCTATAGCTGGCATTGGCGCGGTATTTGCCATTAGAGCACCTGGTCCATACACAAATGTGTCACTCTGTGGTTGAATGTATATCGAAACTACAATTCTCATCACAGGGATTATTTGTCAATATTTGGTGCATTCCATACATATGGCACGGCATTGGTGGTTACTTCACATGTTAATTTGAGTTAATTGTTTCGGTTGCAGAAAAAATAGCATGTTTCATTCGGATCAAAAGTGACTTTGTTCGACTCGCAAATTTTGCTTTCGCTCGGCTTCGCTGAACGCTCCGCCTCGCAAATGCAAAATTCGCTTGTCAAACAAAGTGTCACTTTTGATCCTAATAAAACAATCTACTATTTTACGCCGTCGGGAGTAGAAGTTAGTTTCTCTGGTAACAAAAGAGGGGCAGAAGTCTCGTATTATTCCCTAGGGAGATAATGTGACATAGTTTCTCCCAAGGGAGTTTATACCAACTTTACATTTTCCGCATAGCTCTGCGCTTTCTTTTCGGAACACCCTTCTCTGAATCGAGGAATAAGCTGCATCATACAGATTTCCAGATCTCACTGGTAGCAAGTTGAGAATCACTGCAGAAGCAGTATCAATAGTTTCTTGGGGTTTTCCCTCGATCTCTTGTTCCATAAACGTTAACCATTTTCAAAGCTGTTTTCATAAATTTCAGTTTGATAGTTGCTGTCACCATGGGCTATCAACAAGATGCGTGTTGTCAAGATACGAATTCCACAAACTATACTACTACTAATTATGACAAAACACTTTGACCAATTTTTTTTCGCCAGCGTAAAAAATAGTACATACACCTCAAGACAAAATGCTATTTTCCCCTCGGTGCTTTGTAGTTTGTATCTCTCGGGCTTCGCCCTCGAGCTACAATTCGCACCTTGGAAAAAATCTTGCATTTCTGTCCCATGATGTATAATGCACTGTTTTAGGAAGTAGGTTCTTTCGGCCGAGTTAGGTCTTGTGCAGAAAGGATATTCACCTTCCTCAAATTCGCAGAAAAAACTTAATAAATACATAATAAAATGTACAGCGTTGCTTCATCTAGGCATAAGTTACCGACGGAATCCATAAGTTACGTCTGTAATTTAAATGAAATCGTCCGGGTTTCAGGAGCGGCTAGTTGTGTCGGTAACATATGAATATGCATGCTGGATTTATGCTTTACATGAGTATAGGCCACTTCATTCGCGCCTAGAAATTCCGACGTGTATAACTCACTTATAGGCCGTTATTAGGTACCATATTAGGACTAGATCAGACTCAGACCAGATCAGACTCAGACCAGATCAGACTCAGATCAGACTCAGATCAGACTCAGATCAGACTCATATCAGACTCAGATCAGACTCATATCAGACTCAGATCATACTCAGATCAGACTCACATCCGGCTCAGGCCACATCAGACTCAGACCAGATCAAACTCAGACCAGATCAGACTCAGGCCAGATCAGACTCAGACCAGATCAGACTCAGACCAGATCAGACTCAGGCCAGATCAGACTCAGACCAGATCAGACTCAGACCAGATCAGACTCAGACCAGATCAGACTCAGACCAGATCAGACTCAGACCAGATCAGACTCAGACCAGATCAGACTCAGACCAGATCAGACTCAGACCAGATCAGACTCAGACCAGATCAGACTCAGACCAGATCAGACTCAGACCAGATCAGACTCAGACCAGATCAGACTCAGACCAGTACAGACTCAGACCAGTACAGACTCAGACCAGTACAGACTCAGATCAGTACAGACTCAGACCAGTACAGACTCAGACCCAGATAAGACTCGATCAGACAAACATTTATTGGACAGCTCTAGGTAAAATATATAGGATCCTTAGTGATGTAGGTTCAGGTTTTTTCACCGTCTCATTAGAGGAAATTTTACTGTGAAGATGTACACATCCATGAATCATATGGTTCCAAATCGTTGTTATGAAATTACACGAGAGAGTCAGTTTATCGAGATTTTTGTGTTCTTACAAGAGTAAGGACGATCTTCAAGCGAGAGGGGGGACGTTAATATATGGCGATTTACCATTGAATTTTGAGAAAGGAAGATAACGTTGATACAACGAACTAACCTCATGATACAGGACACAACAAACTTACCTGTATCATAAGGTTAGTTCGTTGTATCCACGATTACCGAAGCGTGCAATCGCCGCCCCCAGAAAGCTGCCGCCCCTAGGCCACGGCCTATTGACAACTCCAGGGCTGATGGAAGTAGATTTCATCTGTCAAGGTAAGAAACGTCGAAATACTACAACAAACAAGGTCCAGGACCAAAGTTGTCGGGGTAGCAACAGGTGGGATTTCTCCCCCCTCTCACAAGACTCCCTTAGGGGATAGCTGCCGGTCACCTATCTTTCGACCTAAACCGACAGCACCCCAGGGAGAAATGAAGGATTTGGATACGCCAAATCAGCGCGCTAGAGCCATCTCCGTTATGTAACGGCATGTTCTCCTGCTACCATTTTATTATACCAATGGTGAGGCCGTCTGATAAGACAGACTACTGGCTCTGCGGTGTCAGTGCCCGACCAGAAACGCTGCTCACCCGCCGAGGCAGGCAAGATATCCTCCCACTTGAAGTATAGTGGGATTCTTCTTTACCTCCTCTACCGTAGTCCGGTGATGTTTTTTTGGAAACCTATGCCCCCTGGAGTCCAACCCAATTGGTGAGGCACCAGACCGTGTGTACGGCCTGATGGGGCTATCCTCATCACCCCAGGTACCCATGTCAACAAGATTCCTCTTGTTACGTTTAATGGGTCGTCGTCGCAAAAGGCTTTCGCCTAATTGCTACTCATGTTGACAAGAATCCTCTCGTCCCGTTGAATGAGTGATCGTTCGAGGACTTTTACACGTTCCCCTACCTCGTTTACAGGAGAGGACCCGGCTTTACCTATGATGACTGGCGATTGGATCGCTTGGGGCTACCCTCTTCCTGTCGAACTGAGGCACAAGGTACACCAAAGTTCCATTTTTCGCTGAGCAAGCCCAGCTACCCATGTCGACCAGAATCCTCTGGTCCCGTTTGATGGGTGTCCGTTCGCGGCCTTTCACACGTACCGCTACCATGACAAAAGTGAGGACCTGAAGCTTTTAACCAGTGGTGTCTGGAGTCACCTGAGGCTACCCCCACCCCGACGCCGTGAGTACATGGTGGGCCCACGGCCAACGTCGAAATACTATAGGAATGGATGATACTATCACCAAATTACAATTATACGTTCCGAACGAATCTCAGTTCTAATTGGCGATTAATCGATATTTTCGCATGTTTCATCAAAACTAATCAAGGTGCTTCGTGTATTTGCTATTTTATATGGTTGCTTGTAAATTCGATACATCACAGTATCATCATATTGATTTTAGAAAAAATCAATGTCCACTTGTGATATGTCATTGAAAAGGAAATTGTTCAATGGAATGGCGTAAAAATATCTACAGGGTTCCATTCAAAATTCTCGACCTACGTTTATTGCATGTAAAACCAGAAGTGATATTCATTTGTTTTTTCATGGAAAATATTGCTTTCAAGGGACTATATCCTCGATTTAGAAGTCAATAGTCTAACATAGAAAACAAATGAATGACTCTCTATTGGATGTGAGGGTTCCAAAGTTAGTCTGGTCTGGGGCTACTCTTGACTTGACAAAAACTCGTCGATATGGTGATAATAATATAAGTTGTTTTTAGGTCTTTATATTGATGGTTGTTCATTTACATCTTCACTACCCATAATTTTTCATGTTGTAATATATATTTTTGTTTGTATTGAGCCTCGTATATTCAGCAACACCAAAATATAAGTGCCTATTTAAATATTCAATCTCAGAAATCTTTGTCAAACAAACCCTTATAAACTGATGTATGAAAAACAACTCTGTCTCCTATATCATGACATAGTGGAGGTCCATCCCTTCCATATTCCATAACAATGCCTCAATTTCCAATTTCCACACAATTTGCTGGTGAATTGTGGGCTACAACTGACCACCACAAAATTATGCTAAATACTAGGTAGGATTTGTTCAATTCATTGGGCTCAAGGCCTCTTGATTTATTTATTTATTTATTTTCATTTTCATGAAAGCTCGAGGTTTGGTATATTTCAAGATATCCACATTCTGAAAAGAACAAATCCCTGTCCAAAAAGAATACAACGTGAGTATTTTTGACAGAAAATTCTACTCATATACACACACGCTGATTGTCTTGGTTCCTCAATAAAACCATTTCAATGTTGCAGTTTTTTAATAATAATAATAATATGGTTTATTTGGATAAAGTTCAATAATATAACATCTTATATACAATGAATGCAAATAAACAGAGGGACAAACCGCAAAGCCACTGGCTGTCCGCGGTGTGAGTGATTTAAAAAGTACCTACTGAATTCCTAATTGAGTATAACAATACATCGAAGAACAATACTATAGATTATTAATATAATTTTGCGACTAAGACTAAATGAATAACGATAAAAATAAGTGATAAAATATATGAAGAAGTTATTGGGAGATATTTGATGATGAATTGATCGAGAATGCGGTGAAAGCTATCGAATGAAATTTTATTTAATTCGGAGGGGCTGTATTATTTATAATGTGGTGAATTCTACGTCTTTCTACGGAATGCAAGAATTTTTTCATATTATATCTGAAAATATGGTGAGGAATTTATTTCAAATGGTTTGGGGTAGGAAATTGTAGACTCTGGAGGCCAGAAACATATGACTTCTTTGTCCAACAGTTTTGGTGCTGGTGGCAGTTGGTAAGTTTTCATTTATTTTATTTCGAGTTTCGTATGAATGTGTATAGGAACCAAATTTTTGCTTATTTTGATGACAGTATGTAGCTAATTTACAGAAATATATCTGGCGACTGTCAAATATTCCAGTTTCTTTATACAACTGGTCACTGGAAAATCCCCTATTTTTATTGTGCATTATTTTGAGAAAGAGTTTCTGCAAGATGTTCAATTTCTCAAATAGCAATTGGCCACTCCCCTCCACCCTAGTATTCCATAATTCAATCTTGATTCTATGAGTGCATAATAAATTATTTTTAGTTGGGGTAATTCCATGAGTTGGGAGAGGAGTTTCAATTTATGTAACAAAGTCCGGAGAGTTTTAATTATTTGAGTGATATGGAGATCCCATCTCATGTGGCAATCAATGGTTACTCCTAAGTTATTACTAGATACCTACTTAGTAGGTACTTTCTGCATTATACAGGGTATCTGGTTCACCGACTTATATATAAGGGGGTGATAGGTAAAACATTTTGAACATATTCAACTATATACTGGGTGTCCCAACTCTATTTATACGCGCATTTTCTCGAAAACGGGTGACACTATCGATGTTCTGAAAAAACTGGCTTGAATGAGGAAGTGTGTTGCACAAAAATTAGTCCACCCCTCGACAAATCACTCCTTAGCACATACACCACACATACCGCTAACTTAATTTCTTTAAATAACATCCCCCCATTGTTGTGGTATGTTTGATAAGCTTATTAGCTCACAAACACAATGATGTATCACACTCCATGAATACGCCCTAGATATTGTCAAATCAAAAACTTAATAGCATTTTATATGAGGAATTTTGTTCACCATTATCATGAATCTGAAGGCGGAATCAGAAGACGGATGTGAAATTAGTTATTAAAACCATCCCCCCACAAACTATTCACTCCTTAGCACACACCCCTTATATTTTTCAGATTATTATTTTTTGAATTTCAATTCAATTAAATATTCGAAAGCTTTTATGATCACATAAATTGTGTATAAAGAGGTTATAAGTTTATGATTAACATTTAGAAGGAAAATTTAATTTCCTTCTTTTAAGACCGTTTAAATACAAGCATTTTTTTAATTTTTTTACTTTTAATTCATTTTTTACTTTTAAGTTATTGCTGACTATCTCGCCAAATTACACAAGTCAAAGTTAATCAACCGATGTTACAGGCTTTAAAATCGATTTTTTCTTAAACCTGCATTTTTATTCTCACCAAACCCATTCATTTTATAGGAAAGCACAAAAATCTATTCCGCCATCTTGGATGGTCCGCCATATTGGATTTATAGTGACATCATATTATTTAAATAAATAGAAAAAGCTCAAAGTCATTTCCACACAATATTCATAAAATGAACGACAATGGTAGATTTCGGGAGAAAAACAACTACTTTCCTGGCTAATGTCAGGCAACATTGAATCACATCCACCCGAAATCTATGCATTACGCCAGTCGGGCAACCAGCCACTCCCATGTAGGTTTTTTGGTTTTGGAGTGTTTCTTTCCTTCTTCCCTACTCAAATGGCGTCGCTCTCATATTGTCTTACTTAATTTTTGTTTGGCCAGGCTACGCTTAGTCGGCGGTCCTGAGACTGCTGGCTCGTTTATACGAGTCGATGCATAGATTTCGGGAGTAGTTGTTTTTCTCAGGAAATCTTAATTTGTTGTTCATTTTTTCTGTATGGAAATGACTTTGAGATTTTTGTATTTATTCAACATTTCATTCAACTTTGAGCATTGTGGCTATTTCGTAGTTGAGATCACATTATTTTTCTAATTGCTCTCAACGAGCCCTTTCATTTGATACCCATAATGTAGATGTAGATGAAAAATACCTATTCCGCCATCTTGGATGGTCCGCCATATTGGATTTAGAATGGCGTCACATAATTTTTCGAGTTACTCTCAACAAGCCCTTTCATTTGATACCCATATTGTAGAGGTAAATTACAAATACTTATTCCGCCATAATGGATATAGAATGACGTCACGTCACATTATTTTCGAGTTACTCTTTCATTTGATACCCATATTGCAGAAGTGCATGAATAATAACTATGCCGCTATCTTGGATGGTCCGCCATATTGGATTTAGAATAACGTCACATTATTTTTCGAGTTGCTCTCAACGAGCTCTGAACATTGATATCTATATTGTAGAAGTAGATTGAAATAACTATTTCGCTATTTTGAATGGTCCGCGATATTGGATTCAAAATGACGCCACGTTATTTTTTGAGTTACACTCAACAAGCCCTTTCATTTAATACCCATATTGTCAAAGTGCATTAAAAATAACTATTCCGCCATATTGGATTTAGAATGACGTCACATTATTTTTCGAATTGCTCGCATCGAGCTAAAAAAGGACACATTTTGAAATAAAAACGGAATTTCATAAAATGCCGATTTTTCAATAGGAACGCAATTCATCAAAAGAATTTCCAACAACAAAAACAACAACAAAATCCAACATATGCCAAGAAATTTCACGAAAACACTAAAAAATAGTACATATTAATTTTATTTACTATCATTGATATTTGATTGAAATAAATACAGGGTGTTTCAGAATCAAGATTTTTGACCACCCTGTATCTATTTCAATTAAATATCAATTATTAGTACGTGAAAAGTTGAGATAGGGACATGGAAACCGTTTTGACCAAATTTGAATCGTTTCGACACAAAAAATTCCTAAAGTTGAAAAATCTCGATTTTTCACATACTATAACTCTGTAATTATTACTGCTAGACCCCAAGTGTTCCGAAAAGGGTATAACATACAGGGTGTTCCATTTGAAAAATCAAAGTTTTTGCTAATCGCAATGTCGCAATGCAGATGATATTTTAGGTCCATAGAACACAACTAATTATTCAAGGAACCAACTTTTCAGAATAATCGAGTTGCGTTCTCCAGAAACGTATAATGTGCCATCTACCTTGCATCAGCCTGTATATGGTTCAATATGTCCAAAATCACATTGCTTACCACCTCCTTTCAGATATACGTCGGTGGACCAAACACTGTATAATCCAGAGCTAAAAATAGGTAACCCTATTTTGTAGGCCTTGATTGTTTTTTTAATCCTAAAAATAATCTTTATATGAGCACCTAAAAGTGTTGAGATAAAAAAATAGAGATTGAAGATGAACTGAAATTCAAAAAATTTGAATGAACTGGTTCTTCTGATAGAGGTTGAGTAAAACATTCTTTCAAACCAAAATGAATGCTAAAACTCTTGTACATTGCCTTTCTATCTTCTATAAATGATTAAATGCCTTGAATTGATTATTTGTTATCGCACCTCTATTTCATAGAACATACAATTTTCAACGCCATCTATTGCGTGATTTTCTCGAATACCAGTATTTTCAATCTCTTGTGCATTCTTTTACCTAAGGGAATACCAGTATTTGTTCTTATAGAACTCATTCAAGCCTTCTACACTTGTTTGTGATTATAATTAGTGTAATTTGGGCTGGCCCGACAGCTATCACTAATTTGTAATACCATAATCAGGTATGCAATAGAACATTTTTATCAAACATTATTATCAACAGTTTTACTTACCTTCCATTTTACATGAACACGTATCGATCCTGCTCAAAATGGCAACAAGCTCCTTGAGCATGGCGGCGGCCTCATCGCCGTTCGTGAGATCGGGCTCAAAAACGAGTTCCATCAGGGGCGCACCGGCCCTGTTCAAGTCCACGAGGCTTCTATCTGAGTCGTGCAGGCTTTTGCCGCTGTCCTGTTCCAGCTGAAGCTATAACAGAAAGTATGAAAGGTGATCCATGAGATTAGATGTGTCACCACTTGGACGAGGAGGTGTACGGAATCCTCAAGCAAGATCTGTGAGAGACCGTTAACCAGCAGGCCCTGGCATCTCGTCTAACGACGAGGTCGGGAACTACGACGAACAGCGTAGCGATCGGAGAGGGGACGAAGGTGATATTGGCGATAAAGTGCCCAGTGCACTGTAAACTGGCGGAAGGTGATATTGGCGATACTTTGTTCGTAGTGCATATCAATCAATATCATAGTTTTGGTATTTTCCCAATGTTTATCACGATGAGTCCGGTGTCTATGATTATGTAATATTGAAATATCGGGTATTCGGTGAATACACTAGACCAATTGACACACTTTGTTAATAAATGTCTTGAAGAAGGTATTTTTCCAGATAATCTGAAACGATCACGATCGACACCTATCTTTAAAAATGGTGATAAGGGTTCAGTTGATAACTATAGACCTATATCCATTATCCCTATACTATCAAAAATTTTAGAAAAAGCATATAAAATCCGATTAGTTGAGTATCTGGAAAAATATAAACTGTTGAATCCTGGGCAGTTTGGTAACAGAGCAGGCATGTCCACCACAAAAGCACTTATCACACTGGTAGACTTTGTATCAGATCAGATGGAGGTAGGGAATACTACGGTAGCCACGTTTCTCGACCTAAGTAAAGCGTTCGATTGTGTATCTCATGAACTGTTAATCCATAAGTTAGAATGCTATGGTATAAGAGGCACTGCACTATCATTCATCAAATCATATCTCACTGGAAGAACACAGTACGTCCAGAAAGGTAAAGATGTGTCATCAGTCAGATCACTAAACTTCGGTGTACCTCAAGGGTCCGTCTTAGGACCAATTTTATTCATTATCTACGCGAACAAATCATCAAATCACAAAGGAGTGATCTTTGCGGATGACACAACTTTGATAGCACCATGCAAAACCAGTTCAGACACGAGTAAACTATCGAAAGAGATGATTTCCCAAGCAAAGAGTTATTTCAACTCAATTCAACTCTCCTTAAATGAAGAAAAAACTACGACATTAAACTTCAGTTTAAATCCAATGATATCATCTCTGAATAGCTCTGTGAAATATTAAGGAATTCACATGGACAATAAACTAACTTGGTAAATACATATAGACAAACTAACTAGCAAACTCGCGAGCATTATATTTCTCTTAAAAAATGTAACTATCATGATAGACAAAAAACACATAGTCATGGCCTATCATGCTCTATTCCACAGTATAATGTCATATGGCATACTACTGTGGGGTAATTCATCACATGCTAATCAAATACTATTACTGCAAAAACGAGCCGTTCCAGTTATCGATTCTATTGGAGACGATATTCATTTTGGAATTGAATGATCATTCGTGTTTTGATGAGTTCACAATAATTTTAATTCCATGAAGGTTATTCTCACGGCTTTAGCACACGGGAGTGAGTACAATCTGTAATCATTTCAATATATCGGCGATTTATTCAATATTTTTTATTACACTTCTTTTAAATCAACTTGTTTTCATCTAAATTAGTAATATTGTAAGATAGGCTTTATCGGGCTATCGCACGGAAACAGCGCACGGAGAAACTTTGAGAATAACCATGGAAACGAATCATACATGCCAGACACTGTATTGTCAGCATTGTTTATTCTCTGTCAATAAAATTTATGCCGACAATATGAACACAGAAGAAAATCCCGAAATCCCGATGATATCCTAGAGCAAGCGGCATAAGCGATCGCGAATTTATTACCAGTAAAATCCAGGTCTAGTAGTTCCAAGTTTTTTCATTCCTACAACTATGAAAATAAAAATGTTCCAAGTTTCTTTTGTGTCTTTTTTATGTAATATTTTATTATTATCATTTTCATCTAAGTAAAAAATATCATTCATTACTCGTCCAGAAATGATTTTTTCGTGCTTGCATGACTTCCGGTGTTCGGCTTCGCCTCACACGCGCACGGAAAGATCCCTATTTCCAGACTCGTAATGAAATATACTATTATTTCATTTGACGAATTCCAACGGCGTTTGGGAATATCGTAATTTATATTTTAATGATACTTACTTGGCGGTGAAATGAAAAATTATTTTCTCATTTATTTTGGCTTTATTATGCGTTATTTTTTTATTGGCGATTATATTATACCTAGACATTGATTGGCAGTCAGGTTCCATTGTACAGGGTGTGATCGGTGATCACATTATCGTACATTTTCTATTAATAGGTGAATAATGGCGTCATCAGGCGATGACCATTTGGCGATTACTGAAGATGTTGAGAAGTATTCTTACGATTTTACAGGGCGTGATAGAAGGTGAAACCATCCAGAATCTTCCAGGCGAGGGGAAATGGAACTTTCTGAAGCACATGTTGGTGAAACAGTTGAGCAACTATTGGCAGGCGGTCTCATGCAGAAAATTCAGAAGATTGCTAAGCAGCAGGTGGCTATAGCAATAGACGAGGGTTTAATAGTAATAGGCGGCTATGACTCCTTGGCTTAGGAAGTGGTGAATTATTTCGATCCTAGTGTAACGTTTTTATTTTCTAATATAACTAGCCTACATCAAAACGTTACTTTTCTACGTGATCTTCTACTATAATTCCAGATAAAGCTCTCAAAGGAAACACTACAGAAGTCAGACACTTTTATTGTATATTTTGTAACATAGTTCAATATCAAATGAAAATCCTACCTGAATCTTTTTGCATGATACGTGAACCATACAATATTATGAATCTGCTTGAGGTAGTCTTCTATTCAATGATGATTATCAAATTTCTGTATATCCAATAGTTTTTCTGAAAATAAAGAAAACAACAATCATAGGAATTCACAAACACTGGAAATCAGACAAGGAATAACAAAAGATACGTACGATATACTCCTCCCGTGTTTATATGTAAATATTGTATAGTTAGATATAGTTGTGGGAAATTGGTTGAAATATCTTTTCATTGCTTTTCATAAATATCCCAGCGAGTTATTCAATATCCAATGTTTACTTGTTTACTTCTTCACTGCTTGGTTATGTCGTGACCGTGACCTTGTGACCGTACTGTACTGACCGTCAGACAATTTCTACTCTTATTCTTCCTTCGTATTTGGCGAATTCCTCTGCCGTGAATTAGTCGTTGTACGCATGAATATCCTAATTCCGATGCCTCGTTCAGACCTTGCTCGAAAGGGACTCCACTATGCATGGATTTTAGCATTAGGACGTTGTTCAAAGCATACTCAACTATGTAAGGATTTTGGCATTTTCGCTGTCGCCATCTCTTGGTGTTCGTTAGAACTATCAAGTGAAATTAGGTCATGACGGGCAAAACTGTGTCAATGTCAAGGTCGTATCGATTTCGGTTTCCGCTTTCCGGCGAAGACTTTTCTGAGTTGGCCATGATTCTTCTCCCAAGGTGGTTGTCCTCGCAGCAGCAGCAGCACGCGAACTAGCTGGTGAGTTCATGTTTTTTTCTTGAAATCTTTTGGTAGCATTTCAATGCTGGAAATCTTCATCCCTTCAAGGCACTATTTATTCTGCTCACCTTTATGGGGCCTAACCGAGTTGCCCAAATGCAGCATTAGAGACCCAGACGTCCCGACCACGTGACCCCTATGCCGACCGAACCTTCATCGCCACGTTTCTGTTCTCCGATGTTCATCCGGGTTTTTTTGTTAAAACCCTCGATCCAAAAGAGGTGAGTTATTTTGTCTCCCCATCAGTGATCCAGGCGGTCTCTATTCGCCCCATAATTTATTTTAGGGTTTTATGTTGGAGTGATGAATGCCGCACATCCACGTGCTCATCAGTACCTCATGTATGGGTGATGTCAACAGCAGGGGGCCCTTCGTTTAATCCCATGCAAGTCCTGAAGGCCATGGTTTTTTCTTCCCTACCATATGGGATCTTTTCAGTAGGCGCAGGTTTCTGAGTCTTCTCGAACCTGGCTAGTGGTGATCCGTCCAGACACCAATTTTGAAGCTGCCCTTCAATGTCGCCATCTTGTGATCACCTTCCATGTCCAGTAACAGTCGACATCTAGCAGATACCCGAATATTGGATAACTCAGGTTTTTCTAGTATCAAGTCCATTAACTATTAATTTTACATAATTTTTACATATTTACATATTTACATATCAATTATCATGGAGTTATAACTTTTCAAATTTCAACACGCAGTATGTTCAAACCCTACTTGAATTTCTAAAACCATTAGCAGCGGACATGAAACATTTTATATAGCGGAAAATGCGCAATAAGACTCCCCAAAATTCATGGATTTTCAGGGTACAATCAATATCATATGGCCAATTATAGTCCAATAACAATCTTCTTCAAAATGGGTTTACTCATATATAAATATAATATCTGATAAAATCAAGAATTGAAAAGTATCCATAATATTCTACCAATGTATATAATTGTTAATGTATCTCATGAAAAACATTTTCATCATTAAATTTGTATGTATTGTTGAAGTTTCCATGTTTTTACTGATATCTCTCTCTCTGAACTCAACCTACAGGTTTCTGATTTTATCCTAGACATTCTGTCTATGTTCTAAAAGAATCAGTGGCGTCCAAAATAAAATTACAGAAATATATATATATATTCTTATAAATTCCACATGTTATCTAGTTGAAAGATTTTACTATTGATATATTTGAGGATTAGCAAAGGTATCAACCCACACCCATATGCCGCCGACGAAAAGCTACCAGGTGCAGTGTAAAAGGTAAAATTTTACGTTACACTGAGAATGCTGATACCAATAGGTAGCTTCAGAAAATCGACCAGCTAGTTCCTATCACGACAAGCGGCCTGAGGCGAGACGAAAGAAAGTTGAAAAATAGGTGTTTCAATTTTCAGAATATTTCGAATCATCTGAGCAAGTACTGTCCTCTACCGAGAGTAGAACGGTGTAATGGATGTGGCGGACGGGGATA